ACAAATTCATGAAATTTACAAAAAGAAAATGTTACATACTTCTAACGCATCATCTTCTTTGTTCTTATGTAATAACCTTCTCACACATCCCATTTTCTGATCCCATGCATTCGAGGACATTTTATTATTAATTATATAACTTAAGATCACGAATTGAAGAAAATGTATCTGATGAATTAAATGAAATGACAAAATTGGTTGAATGAGAATTTTGGTAATAGAATGAACAAATAACCGATATCAATGGACGAAATAGACGTGTGTATATGTCGAAAATAATATCAATTGACGAGAATAATCGTAGAAATAAATCAAATAAAACCAATCCAGGAAAACGATGAAAGTTAAATAACAAAAGAACAATTGGACAAAATCCACTGGAATTAATTCGATATTAATAAGGTATATGAACGCAAATTAATATGAATCGAAAGAACGGCTTAGTTACAACAACCGAAACAAATTAATAATAAAGATAATAATGATTTAATCTGAAAGTAATCGGAAATGAAACAAGTATTTATAAAGAGTTCAATGATAAGAAAGAATGAATTGAACAAAGAGACGTGACCTAACATAAATGGCTGACTAGATCAAGACAGATGTAAACGACGATATGAACAAAGAGAAGGGTGTAGTTGGTTATTTGAAAGCAACTAATCGACAGATATGGAGAAAATATTTGATAAATATAAAAAGGAACCAATTGAAATAAACTTTATAGAAACAATATGGTCGAGATAAGCTAGTGTAGCTTATTCTTGGTCATTTGAATCAATAGAATTACGTTCCAGTCTTTATTCCTTTCTATCCATAAAATGTTTGCCATGTCTAATTTCTTTCATGAAATTTCCTTATGAAAAAAGATAATCAGCACATATAGTGTATCATTTTTAGTTAAATTAATCCATAGTCATCGTCTTTCAATTTAAACAATAAACTGGATAATAAATTGAGTTGATCACTCATTCTAAATCGAAAATGCTCGAACATACATTTGAAGGATATATAACTGTATTTGTTACGGTGTTAGAAAATCTTCGCTGTGACCTTGATTAAAGGAAAACTAATATTTCGGTGATAAAAACTAAAGATTGCATTTTTGAATCATCTCCCAATATTGGACCTTTTTCAGAATTATTTACTTTCTGATTAAATAATATTTTTTCGTTCGAATAAGAAATATTTACTATTGTAGTTCAAAAGCAACTTCAAAAACAATAGGATACTCGGATGAATTATTTACTTTTCCTAGGGCAAATGATCCTGAACTGATGGTTTAATTTCAAAGTAATGAAATGCAAGAAAACATGTATAGTTTTTTGGATGTAGGATTTCAAATTCTCATTTAAAGATCGCGTAAGGCTAAAAATCATTGTATTGTATTTGATGATTCAAAATTTTTGAGTACGAAACGTCTTGAAATGATAGTACGTGCAAAAGAAAAATTTGGAACTATACAATAAACTTTTACTATGTGGAATAATGTTAGTGATTATGAAATATTAAAATTATGGTTTCAAATTCTACGCTCAATGGTGAACAGATATTGTCAATAAGGATATGATTATTACTCTTTCTTTTGATAGCTTACTTTTACTTAATATATAATTTCCATTGTAAAAAAAAACTGAACTGATTCTACGGAGAAAAGAACTAACAAACACATTGATCAATGAAACAATGAGAGCTTTCGGTTTTGATACTATCCATTATTCCGTGTTATGCATTTCAAAAACAAGAAGACTTAACTTTTACCTAGCATTTTCTGACCAATAAATGCCTAGAATAAGTTGGCTTATCTGACTTTGATGAATCGAAATTTGCATATATGAACTATAAATGAAACTAAAAGAAATCGTTTATACGATGCTAGAATATTTTTTCTTGAAAAAAATTCTGTCTAAAACCGAACATTATTTCGGTTACACAATATAAATATGTGTTGTGCGCTCTCTTTTTAATCTTAAAAGTATTATACATTGGTTGATTTTCGTGTGCATCCTTCTTCGACAGATGCTTCCTGCAATCGGTAATTCATACTATTCTATTAAGAACTGTGAATCATTGTGAAGGCCTATAAGTTCCTCGTTAGCAGAGTACATTTTGGGCTACCATCATATCCACTTTATTGGTACTGATTACTTGAAATTCTACGAGTTTTTCAAAGTCTCAGATGTTTGTCGAAGTTTTTCAGGACCTTTGTATATGAAGGAATGGAGTACACTGTTTTTCTTTAATTTGAGAGAAAAGCATATTACGATTAAGACGATGTTCAAATATATCACTAGGATAAATTGCCTCACATCTTATTACTTATCTCGTTCATTTTAATTCTTTTCCTCTTGAATCAAGTAGAACATGTCTTCTTTCGACGGCGGTCACTCATGTAGGTTCATTCAATTTTTCTCCTCTCTTAGCTTCAAAACGAATGGTGATAAATAAAAAGACAAATGTAATATGATCTGTTGAAAGATCAAGATGTTTATATTATGAATTGGGGAACAGAACGCTGCTCTTGCATTTAATTCTTCTCAATTTCTAAATAAGTTACAGAGATCGATGGTTATCTGAAAATATGAAATTTTGATGTACACTAGAGTATGTACTCAGGTACCAATAATTTATTTGTTCTTGGCAGAGACATGTCAAAAATAATCCAAGCGTTACCGCCATAGTTCTTCTCTTATGTTTCACTTTTCCATTTGTTCGAAATCTCACGGAACCTGAAACTCTAGAAAAAAGTCAAAAATCAAAAGGAGTTAAGAGAAAAGCCTAAACATCAGCTTCTGAATTCAGGAGATTTTTTACCAATAGAAGAAGTTCGAAAATTCGGAGACTCCTGATCAAATTAGAAGATTTGGCAATTCTGATTTCTATATTCCTATAGTATGCATAAATCACGGATGGATCAACACATTTTGTATAGCTCGGCACTGATCAATCTGTGCAGCTTTATCAACAGCACTACTTAGATTCTTTACAAAGAGAATTTTTTTAATTCAATCTCATGTAAATCATTAGATGGGGTATTTGAATTTGCGGCAGATTCATTTAAAATTTAAAAAAATAATTTGAAAAAAATAATTTTCTTTCAATTTTAAATTAATTTACCGCAAATTCAAATACCTCATCAACTCTCCAATTACTTGAACGCCACAACTATCTTGGTATTACCCATAGATTAGAATATGGATGGATTTTTATTGTAATAATAAGAAATTTCAAATCTTCAAACGTTCTTCATTGAAATGTCAAGAAAAATGAAATTTCGTGACGAACAGTAGTTTTAGTTTTTTATTCGATACGATTATGTTTGTTTGTTAATAAATGGTCTGATATTCTGAAAGTTTATGAAAAATTGAACAACTTTCATTCTGAACATTTATTTGAATGTCGCTTTGTTTCATAACAAAATGGTAAAATCTGATCTCATCCCTCAAGAACCATTTCATTTTTTGGAATTTTATAACAATCAATATCTTTTGAATAACTCAGTTCTGGCTAAAACCAAATTGATGAGATTTTTATTGGCCGTAGTTCTAAATAGTTTATATCTATGGTAAAAATTCCAGAGAATTTAGCTGCTATGATTAATGAGATACAGGTGTCACACGATGAAAAACTAAAAACTTCGTGACCCTTGGTCAAGGCAAATAGCCACTGTTGAGATTAGTCTCAACTTCATTATAGAGCATTCTATGTATCTAAGAATTATATTCTTTGTTTTCAACCTTGAGAAAATTCTTTCATATTTTTTTCGAATGAAAACTACAATTTTTAATTCTGGTTTTTCATTTGATTAATATATTATAGAAGAAATGTGTTAAGAAGTAATAAAAAATCTAATAGGTATACTTCAACTCTTCGTATGATAGTAATTATATATTCTTTGATAGAATCTATTGAATTTCTAAGGAACATATTTATTAATTATGAATAATAACAAAAAAAATCAACATAGCTTTATTAGAACAGATTTATAATTATGCTCTATGAAAATTAAGAAAACTTGTTGTTTTAATAGTCAATATGTTTGAACCGAACAAAATACCATCATGAACTATCGGTTCATATGAACGTTTTGCCTTTATTTGTCTATCTTTACTAATATGTAAAAGACGTGAAGTATTGTGATCAATCACAAGCCATTCGTCACATTTAAGTGAACAAACACGATTTATTGATCCATACGAGGGATGGCAGAACGTTTTCAAATGAGGCAAAGCTCAGTTTAAGATTATTGGTTACTCTCGAAAACTTTTACATATAACCTTGACATAGACTAAAATAAGTTCAGGTAATAAGTTGTTTTAGATTGTTTAATTATTTTAATATTATGGAAAATACTGTGCTACTATCTGTTCCAGAAGTCAAGGCACTCGGATGTTTCTTGAATAAATTTTGATAGGAACAAGATAAAGACCTACGGTTTTCAGCGTTCGATAGCCAAGACCCAAGAGCATATTTTCACAAGCGAAGTTTTTTCTGAAAAAAAATTCCAAGAGGGAGTTTTTGCAGGATTTCTGGAAAATCACGCTAAATCTCTGAAAACAGCCATAGGAGTATATTGATTTTTTTGGGACAACCAAGCAGTTTTCCGGAAGCCGTAGGATTCCTCTTTTTTTTAGGTGTGGCACCTTTAAAAACATGCCAACATAGGTTATCGACCATGCTGAACATCATGGCAATATTTGTTTTCTTTTTAGAACAAAATTTTCTTATTAATTATACATAAGCATTATTCATACATGCTGTTTCCATATGAAAAAACGCCGTTATGACGATTTATGCATTCTTTTCGCTTGAATATTTTTAAAAAAAATGAACAGAAAGAATTTTCTACTTAAAAAAAAGCAGTTCAATCGTCGGTTTCATCATGATGGTTTAATATATCGTCGCTGTCGATCAGATCGTTTTCTAATTCTTCAGCATTCTTATCTGCAGCCTTAAATATTTCTTCCTGTTTATGCACATGTGAAAAATAGCCAACGGCATGTTCAGGACCACTCGTTAAAAAGTTGCGCAATATCATTCAAACTAAAACGTACATTATATTTTCTCACATAATTTTTTAAACCAGCCCAACCAAGTTCTATTGGAATCAAGACACAGTGCTTCACCGGCATTCGCACAATTTCAATATCATATTTACTTGCTACTTTATCAACTATGTATTCTTTTGGTGGTAAATGAATAAAAGCTAATGCAATTAATTCGGCTTTTGTCATATAAGTTTCAAATTTAATTTGACGGTTATTTAACCAATCAACAATTAATTGTTTTTTCCAAGCACGCTTGGATGGTTCGGATTCCGGGGTCAACTTGTTGTGCCACGTGGCATTATCTATAATAATGGCAATTTTAGCTAATTTCCCGTGTTCAGATCGGAAAGTACTAGCTGCACTATCCATCGATGCAACGAAATTATTATTATCTATAGTGTTCTTCATCGCACTTGACAATATTCAATGAACGAAGGTGAAAACTGTTTAGACTAAGAAGACCACTAATTGCTAAGCGTTGACCTATAAAAATCGAAAGAAAAATTCAGTCTAAAAGGATTTTAGAGATCAACTTTTACTCGTCACCTTTTTCTTCACTGTTTCTCAGGCGGCCATAACCCTTATCATCAAACCACACGACTGTTTTTTCCTCATTTTTAGATAACCATGTTTCATCGTGATAGTAAATAATAGAATTGTTTGATCGTAATTGATCGATTTTACTGAAATATATAGCACGTTGAGCTTGAAAAGCCACTGAATCCATTAAAATCTTTGCTTCTTTTTGTTTGTCTATATTTAAAACCCAATGCTTTCAGTTGACGATATAATGAAGTTTTCGATTTCATAGGAAAATCAGGATATTGACTCAATAGTGTTGACAATAAATTTTCGAGACTAGGACACATTTATCTTGCAATAAAAGATGAAATGTTAATCTGATTGTGTCTTGTTCAAACATTGTGAGTTGTACTTTTGGACGAGCAGAACGGTCGACGAATGACAATGGCGTTGGTGATAATGAAGAGCTTGACGGACGAGTAAATCTACAAGATTCTTCTTGCTCTTTCTTCAGCTCTTTCCTTTCGTGTTTTAGCCGATTGATTGATCTTCGTGAAACCCCAAGTATTGCTTCAAGACGAGCAATAACATTATTAAGAGGTATCAATAAAGCATTCTTTTCTTTCTCGACGAAATCAATAATAGAAAATGTCAGTTGTTTAAATTCTAAAGAGAATTCCTTCGGCATTGTCAAATAAGAAAAAATTTTATATCTAAAACGATAGATTACAATATGAGCTACAAAGGTCAACTCTCAATGACATCTTTTTACAATTACCAATCAGTATGTGAGCCTCCAAATATTTCATTTTTCTCTGTGATACAAGAAAAATTCTTTTTCTTCATTTTTTTTTATATACTCAAGCGAAAAGAATGCATAAATCGTCATAACGGCGTTTTTGCCATATGGAAACAGCATATATGAATAATGCTTATGTCTGATTTATAAGAAAATTTTGTTCTAAAAAGAAAACAAATATTGCCATGATGTTCAGCATGGTCGATAACCTGTGTTCGTATGTGTTTTTCAAGGTGCCACACCTAAAAAAAGGGGAATCCTAGGGCTTCCAGAAAACTGCTTGGTTGTTCCAAATCCTAGGAGATAAAATTTCTTTTAATATCTAGTTTTTTAGAGGATACTCTGGGCTATCTACCCATCTAAAAAAATCAATATACTCCTATGGCTGTTTTCAGAGATCTAGCGTGGTTTTTCAGAAGTTCTGCAAAAACTCCCCCTTGGATTGTTTTCAGAAAAAACTTCACTTGTGGAAATATGCTCTTGGGTCTCGGCTATCAAATGCTGAAAACCGTAGGTCTTTATCTTGTTCCTATCAAAAGTTATTCAAGAAACATCCGAGTGCCTTGACTTCTGGAACAGATAGTAGTCATCAATTATCGGTCTTCTAAACGAAAGTAGTCGTCAGACCCAGTTCTTTTTACAAATCTGGTCACCAGATGCTGTTATTTTAACAAAAACTGGTCACCAGTATCTAGTCTAAAAAATAGAAACTAATCATTGCACCCAGTTTGTAAAAAGAACCCACTTACACTGGTGTTCACTATGAGAGACCCATATGTGATGTTTTATAGCAAAAAGTTCCTAAATTAAAGTTCCTACTTTGTCACCATAATTAACCTGAATTGTTTGATAGTCCGCAAATGTGGACCTAGTTGAGGAATCGATTCAGGAAACTACAATTTGTGGGAAATGATAACCTACCTTTTTTTATTGATTCGAAGTCGCCTGTATGAGCAACTATTGTCGTTGATTGACGAAGCTGTTCAAGTAAATTAAGCATTATAAACTTTTACTATAGCATAGAAAGACAACATATATTGATACTTTTTCCTTTCCATATATATGAAATATGGACATTTTATCTTTACTAATTCGCTTTTATCGAGTGTTAACTACACAGATATGCTAATTTATAACGCAGCAAAAAGAATTCCTTATGACATAATTATATAATATAAGAAAATATCGAAAAATTTACTAATCAATCAATTACAATATATAAAATTGGTGATAATTTTATTTAAGATGACTATTTGAAGAATCTACAATTAAAACTATTTTAACTATGGTTCGAGTCTGGTTGCTTTTGAATGTCTAACCTGATCATTTGTTATGGATTTAAACGAAATTTTTTACCATTGATTCTTTTAGAAAGAAAAAAATTATTTCGAAAACAAGTTAAATGAATATTTCAATTTTTCTATTAATTCATAATTAAAACGTGACAATTATAATATTATTTTAATTCATTTAAAGAGGTTTGATTTATTAGATTTTCTTAATTGACTTGTTGTATTGTTTAATCAAGAAATATTCCATAATTTGTTTCGAAAAAAAACAACGCTCGAATAAATAACATACGTATTCAGTTGACGAATAATTTATTTTAACATATAAACTTTATTATTCTCTCCAAACGTAATTTATGATTAATACAGATAGAAAACAGGTTGCTTTTTTTAGGTTTTCATTTTAACGTTCTTTTCTATCGATAACTATTTATGTCTTCTATCTTCGATTGACAAATTTATTCTATTATAATGAAATACATTTGACAGAAAACGAATCTACATGTATTATTTCCATTCGATTAAAATTTATACAAAAGTTGTTTTATTTTCTCTTATAAACTGAAAAATTCCTTGGTGTAAGTTTTATTGGTTGTTCTTGAATTTTTGATAAGATAATACTCTTCGAATAATCGAAGTTACTCAGTAAGTTCGAGAAAAATTCAAACGATTTTAATTAAGATATATTTTAGTCAGTATAGGAGAAGCTTACAGATAATTGATATGGTTGACTACTTCATTAATATCGAAGAAAGCTTTCGAGATAAATAAATAGAAGAATAATTTGTTATGTTAACTTGAGTTCGAATTTTCTTTTTACTGAATATAATATGTCTTTCCTAAAATCATTTGATTTTTTTATAAAAAAAAAAAGTAAATAAGATATATCCAATAGAATATATATGGAAAAGAAATACAGTGTATATATTTGCAAAAAAATGACATATAATAAGGTATGACTTATGTAAGTAAGAAAAAAAATGACCAAGAATTATAGTTATCATTCTAAATAAGTGCTACTGTAGGTTTTAAACTAAATAAAACACGTTCTTTGTACTCGAAAACTATTATCTATTTATATATTGTTCAGTGTCTGT